AATATTTATTATTATTATTATTATTATTATTATTATGCTTGAAAGCAAAGAAAACATAACCATAAATATTAGTATTGTAATTGTACTGTTGTTATTTAAAATATTATTATTATTTAAATTAATTAATTAAAATTAATTAATGAAAAATCAGAATAATACTATTGATCTGTATTTTTATAATAATAATAATAATAATATCTAATCAAATTATAAAATTAATTAATGAAAAATCACTATAATACTATTTGATATAAATATACCAGTACAATTACAATACCTATATTACAACACAGTTTTTGCGATTTGATAATCATGCTAAACCATATTGTGTTCTCAGACATTGTTAGAATTAATAAAAAATGGATCACATTTATGTAACAGTAAAAGTATGTTTAATTTATTGCTGGTTTTTACTCTCATTTGGCACTTGGCACGCGTGTTAATGTCAGGCCCTGTGTGTGTGTGTGTGTGTGTCTGTGTCTGTGTCTGTGTCTGTCTGTGTGTGTTGTCAGTGTTCGGTGCCCTGCGGTGTAGGTCAAAGGTCACGTGAGGTGCACTGTGTCAGTAATGTGGGTGATATCGTGGCTGATGACGAGTGCAACATGAAGCTGCGTCCGAGCGACGTGGAGAACTGTGACGCAGGTGTGTGCACCAAGAGCTGGTTCTTCAGCGACTGGAGCGCTCAGGTGAGTCTCGCTCGTGTCTGTGATCAGGTGTGTGTCGCTGGGTCACTGTGATGAACGTGTGTGTGTGTGTGTGTGTGCGTGCGCGTGCATGTGTGTGTGTGTGTGTGACGCAGTGTTCGGCGGACTGCGGCGCCGGGGTGCGGACACGCAGCATTCAGTGTCTCACCAATCACATCAGCAGTCTGCCTCTGGAGCGCTGCGGGGCCCAACGGCCCCCCGAGGCCCAGCCCTGCAACAACGGCCCTTGTGAGAGCCGCATGGAGTGGTTCACCGGGCCCTGGAGTCAGGTACGACTGCCACGCTAGTTCATGCATCTACTGTGTGTCTGATGGTGTAGATCAGGGTTTATTAAACTGGGGCTCGTGAGTTAATAATTGTTTTGTCAAATTAAAAAAAAATATTTAAAAATAAAACAATCAAAATAAAACACTTACTAAAAATTTGTTGAATCATAAAATTCAGAATTAAAATAAATGATTTTTACATTTAAAAACAATCAAAATAAACGCTTACAAAAAATTTATGTAAATGCAAATTTAATATGAACAATATTAAAATAAAAACTATTAAAATAAATATTAATAATAAATTAAATCACATAAATGCTAAACTAAAATAAGTTGTATTTAAATAAAACCGAAGTGTAAACATGCTAAAAATTGATTTAATCATAAAAATGAAAATAAAAATAAAAAATTCATATAAATGATTTAAAAATAAAAACATTTAGAATAAAACACTTACTAAAACTTAAACATTTAAAATGCTAAATTAAAATGTAATAGTTTATCAAATGAGACACTTACTAAAAATTAAATAAAGAATTCAAAAGTAAAATAAGGGATTCATTTTAAATAATTATTTAAATTAAATTAATATAAAAACTATCACAATAAACACTTACTTAAAATGTATTAAATAACATAACAATACACGTGTGTGTGTGTGTGTGTCTGTGTCTGTGTGTGTGTGTGTTTGAGTGTGTGTGCGTGTGTCTGTGTGTGTGTGTGTGTGTCTGTCTGTGTCTGTGTCTGTGCGTGTGTGTGTGTGTGTGTGTGGCAGTGCTCGGCGGAGTGTGGCTCTGGTAGTCAGCAGAGGGCAGTTGTGTGTCTGATGAGGTCTGACGAGGGTTTCGTCGTGATGCCGTCGTACGAGTGCTCCTCTCTGGACAAACCCCTCAGCCAGCAGAGCTGCTTCATCAAGACCTGCGGAGTCAAGTGGTTCCACACCGACTGGAGCGCGGTGAGACCATCACACTAACAACCACCCCAACAACCATACAGCAGCTCAGCTCAGATCATGTGTGTGTGTGTGTGTGTGTGTGTGCAGTGCTCAAAGACGTGTGAGACGGGGTACCGTGTGCGAGAGGTGTGTTGTCTGACCGATGACATGACCACCAGCGACCACTGCGAGGAAACACTGAAGCCTCATGACAAGGAGGAGTGTCACCCTGAGCCCTGCCTGCCTCTGATTGGTCAGTCCCCTCATTAATATGTAAACATGTCATGCATATTCATCTCTGCTCATTTCATAAAAGCATCTGTGGAAATCCTAACATGTTTACCCAAAATCTAAAGAAAGAAACTGTATTTTGCATATAGAAAATTATTATTATTTTTTTTTTACTGATTTATGACTTTTCTCATTTCTGGAATATAAAAATATAGATATATTATTTAAATATGCAAAATAGTTATAAATCATGCTGCTGGTATTTATTGAAACAGCAAACAGTGTATTACTATGGAAATTTAATTCTGCCACAAAAAAAAAAAATGTAAATGCAACTTTTTATCTTACAATTATGTGAGTTTATATTTTGCAATTCTGAGAATTGTGAGAGAAAAAACTCAGAATTGTGAGATGAAGTTTTTTACCTTTTTAGTTTAATTTTTAAATTCTGTTTTTATTCCATAGTTTCCATATATGACAATAAGTTTGCTTTTATTTTAAAAAAAATACTATTACAGAAATAAGAATCAAATGATAGACATCATTGAGAATTATGACGATTACTGAAAAGAAAAAAACAATAATAATGCATTTGGATGCATTTCAGAAATAATTAAATCATAAAACGATTTTAAAGCGAGTTTACAGTAATGAGAAATTCGCAGGTAAATGTGCTTAATTATCATGAATTTAATGTCAGAATGCAAAAATAGGCTTTATTTTCCTTATGCAAAAATTAATACTTCTCCTTATGCAAAACTGCATTATTTTTAGGGTGACGTGTGCATGTTTTCATGGTTTAATTTGTGTGTGTTTCAGATGAGAAGTGTCGTGATAAATACTTCAACTGTAACGTGGTGGTGCAGGCGCGTCTCTGCGTGTACGATTACTATCAGATGGCGTGTTGCGTGTCCTGCAAGCGTGTGGCGCAGAGGAGCTCCGCACACTGGAGACAGCGATCGTGATCGAGTGATGATGAGATCAGTATGTACTCAGTGCGTCACACATGAACACTAGAGCGCAGGATCAGGAGAGAATCACTGCGTTAGCAACCACTTCACTTCTGTTCACACTGCGGATTTAAAGTGAATTCAGCGTTATTCAGAGTGAATGTGATCAGAACAGACTGGATCTCTGAGAGGAGCGGCGCTGTGTGGAACTGTGGACGTGTTCAGCTCACTGCAAAACTGGATCCGGTTCCTCAGAGATCTGAAACGCAGATCCGGTTAGATACGCTTTCTTTGGTCTCTTATTGAATAAACTCTCATCGACGGGCTTCAAGAGCAAAAACACAAAGACAGTGATTCATACTGACAGAATTAACATATGGAGCTAAAATAGTCTCAAAATTAATGTGTTTACAAAATATGGTTCACAAATGCAATAGCCATGTCACATTCATAAAACAAACCTTTATGTATAATGCATTATGTACGTTGTAATGCATTAAATCTTTTCATAAATAATTGTAACCAAAGTTACAATGCATTATAGGTTTGTTTGCCATGTTTTAATGCATTATATTTTCTAAAGGTGTAACATTTATAACAGTGGTTACAATTATTCATGAGGTCATGCAATGCATTATAAGGTGCATTACAAGTCATATTTAATGCATTATAACTACGTTTATTATGCATAAAGGTTTTAAGTAAAGTGTTACCAAAAAAATTGATCTATTTGCAAACTCACAAACTCATAACCTTATTCATATTCACACAAAAAAAAAGTTTTGCAAATGCACAACCAAATTTACGTTCACAAAATAAGATTCACAAATGCACGTTTCTGAATGAGTGATTTTTAGACGTGCGTTTTCAGTCATAATGCACTTTGTTCGATGCTCTGAATCAAAAATTAAAATGTGGCTTGATTTATTTTGAGACTGTTTTAGCTCCATAATAACCAGAGCGATGAACTGACGTGAGCACCGGCTCTCTGTACAGTAACATGTAAGTCCTATGTTTTTATTGTACTCACTTGTATTTATATTTTGAACACTTCAAGTTCTGTAGTTTTGAAACAGATTTGTCAGCATTGTCGTACTCATTCAGAACCGTTTATCTGTATCTTTTTAATCTTTATAAATCTGATTAAAGTCTAAAGTTGAACTCTATTCCTCCTGATCTGAGTGAAGCTTGAAAATAATCTGTCAGTGTGTTTGCAGAATCATATAATAAGATCATAACAGCTCATAAGATAAGTTGGTGCTGCACAATTTGGAGTGAAAAAAGAAATGGATAAAAAAATTGCAATTATGATTTAATATGTGATTTTTTTTATGTTCCAGATTTGCTGCTTGTTTGCACAATTTGACCCAAAATTTCAAGATTACATATTAATTTTATTGTAAATAATATATAAGAATAATAAACACAGCAATTATTTTATTTTATAATTACTACTACTACAAAATAAAAATATTAAACAAAATATTTATATTTTAATATTTCAATAGAATGTAAAAATAAGTGCTTAAGGAAAATAATAATAATAATAATTAATTCAACTAAAATTTGATTAACCTGCACTAAAATGAAAACCTGAACTATTTCTGTCATTTTTAGCAGGAGAAGAGACAGAAAATGTGTGCAATCCCATCAAACTTGTTGTGGAGGCGCCGTAGAAGTCATCGCAGACTGAATATGTGCAGAGAATCAAATGATCTCCTTAAGAGGCACATCATTGTGTGTGATAACATTTGTATTTGTCAAACCACTTCAGCCCTGAAGACTTGAGACTCATTCATGCAGAATAAAGAGTCCCGTGACACACACACACTCTCTCTCACACACACACTCACACACACACACACACACACACACACACACACACACTCTCACACTCTCACACACACACTCC